GGGACCTGGGTTCGAGCCCCAGTGGTACCCTTTTGGTTCTTTTTCATATTTTCTCTCTCTTTTTTTCCTTGTTTGCAGGCGCTGGGCTCCCCTTGTTGGGCTTGGTATTTTTACTCATTTCATACCTCCTGATTATGTTTCCTACCCCCTGACCCATTTATTTCTTTATTTCATTTTCATTTTTATTTTAGTTTATTTTACTTTCATATTTTCTTGTTATTATTTTTATTACTAATATTATTTTTTTTATTAATGGAAAAACCCAAAAATATTTATTTTATTATTTTTTACGCTCATATTTTATTTTTCTTTATAAAAAAATAAAAAGAACAAAAACATTTTCTTTTAACAAATAAAATTCTTTTTTTTAATGAATTAATATTTAGGCTTAGGATTAATTACTACATTATTTTATTTTTTTAATTAAAATTAATTTAGAACTTAGGCTTATTTTAATTAATTAATTTTTCTATTATTTTTATTATTTAAAACCTTTTCATGAAAAAACCCTAAAAAATCATTTTTGACTTATTATTATTTGTTAATTAATTTAGGTTTTTAGCTAATTTTAATTAACCATTTTCTTAATTAGGTCAAGATTAAAACCCTTCATAAAAAATCAAATAAAAAATCATTTCTTTTTTCCATTTTGCATTCTTTCATTTTATCTTCAATTTTGTATATTTATTCAATATGGTTGTAATAGTTAATTAGATTTAATTTTCTTGCAAAATCCCTATTTGTAAATTTATATACCCCCTCCCTAATGATGTAATAGCTTAGTATTTTTATTTTCCGTAATTTAATATTTTATATATAAATGCTAGTAAATTAGGGTTTGTATGGAAAGATTAAAATCAACAAGTTAGCAAACCCTAATTCAAGACAAAACAATGCATGTAAATCAACATACTTACACTCTTAGGGTAAATCCACGTTGTTGCCTTATGAAAAATGGTCATGTTATGCATGTGGGATATCTTAGTAAAAGCAATAAAAAATACAAGATCATAGTCCCTCGATAACACTATCAAAGTTGCCTTTTTAAAATGATCTTAGTCCCTCAAAGAGAATTGCTAAGATTGAGAATGTGCATTATTTTTCACGTGTAGAATTTATCTCCTCAGCAGGGATGTGTTGGTAGTTCCCTAGGAAATCAAAATTCATTTCCCAGCAGCATTATTGCAATTCCTTCTCATAACAACAAGTGGTGGTCTCTTTATTTAAGCAAATTGTGTTTCCCCAGTAAGTTTGTTAGTTCCTAGAGAAAATAACTCCGATGGATGGTAGTCTCTTTGTTATGAGAGATAGTTTGTTGTTGAGGTTTTACCCTGATGGATGGTAGTCTCTTTGATAAGAGAGATAGTTTGTTATTGAGGTTTTACTTCGACGGATGGTAGTCTCTTTGTTATGAGAGATAGTTCATTCTTGAGGTTTTACTCTGATGGATGGTAGTCTCTTCGTTATAAGAGATATTTTTTTGTTAAGGTTTTACTCCGATGGGTGGTAGTCCATTTGTTATGAGAGATAGTTCGTTGTTGAGGTTTTACTCTGATGGATGGTAGTCTCTTTGTTATGGGAGATAGTTCATTGTTGAGGTTTTACTCGGATGGATGGTAGTCTCTTTGTTATGGGAGATAGTTCATTATTGAGCTCCGCTAGATGGCAGTCTCTTCATTAAGGGAGATAGTTCGTTGTTGAAGTTTTTACTCCGATGGATGACAGTCTCTTCATTAAGGGAGATAGTACATTGTTGAGGTTTGTACACCGATGGATGGTAATTTATTTGTTATGGGAGATAGTTTATTATTGAGGTTTTACTCCGATGGATGGTAGTCTCTTTGTCGCGGTAGATAGTTCATTGTTGAGGTTTTACTCCGATGGATGATAGTCTCTTTGTTATGGGAGATAGTCCGTTGTTGAGGTTTTACTCTGATGGATGGTAGTCTCTTTGTTATGGGAGATAGTCCGTTGTTGAGGTTTCATTCCGATGGATGGTAGTCTCTTCATTATGGGAGATAATTCGTTGTTAAGGTTTTACTCTGATGGATGGTAGTCTCTTTATTATGGGAGATAGTTCGTTGTTGAGATATGTTTTGCTCTGATGGATGGTATTCTCTTCATAATGGGAGATAGTTCGTTGATGAGGTTGGTTGTACTCCAATGGATGGTAGGTATTTTCAATATGACAAAGACTGTTCATTGAAAGATTTTTACAACAGTTTATTACCCTTTCCAAGTGATATCTTGGTCAAAGAAGAAACCGTTACTGTTCTTGGTGAAATCCAGAAGTCAAGAAAAGTTTATTACCCTTTCATGGTGGAATGCCTCGGTTAAAGAAGAAGTTGAGACCCGTTCTTGGTGAAACGCCATAAATTTTGGAAAATTGTTACTATGATGCATATTTCTACTTATACATTGAGTTAATGCTTACTGTAATCCATATCTTGTGCTACCTTCATCCTTCGGGTTGGTAGCTTACTACCCCCTGTGAGTCGATATTGCTCTCTTTTTTCCGACCTCCTCGGTGAGTTGGTAGTTCATCATATTTTGTTAGTCAGTGTGTTCCATCGTTTTACGCTCATTTATTGAGATCTTGTTTCCATTGGCCCCTCTTTGGACTTTACCCAAGTATAGTTGATTCCTTTTTCCCTAGTGGAGTTGATTTTCCTCCAATGGAGTCAAGTTTCTTTCCTCAGTCAAGTAGGTAATTATTTCTTGAAGATTACTTCCTTGTTGGATCGTATCGCATTGTTAAGTATTCCCTCATTAAAATCTTACTTTGTTTTTTGTTATTCAACTGTGGTCCTGGTTTTCCTCACATACAGTCATCCTCAGAGTCATGTCATTCCCAGTGATTTATTTTCCTGGTGAACTCTCTTTGGCATCATTCTCCAACAGGTTTCAAGTCGTGATTTCATCTACGTTATTATCCCCAATAATGTTTTGTGTTTCCCACAAAATCCTGTGTCTGCATTCATAACCATAAGCATTTCATGACACCTTAGGGTTAAAAAATGGGGTCTTATAATATTTAAGTATCTTCAATCTCGTTGAGACGAAGGTGTCTACCTTCATATCTCCGGATATGAGACACTTAAATAGGGGAAATTGTCATACTCCATTTTTACCCCTAATCTGTTCATTCATAACATCATATGCATTTATATAATAAATCATTCATTCATTTCAGCTTCTAAAAAGCATGACATCAAAAGGCTCTTGGCATTAGGATTTTTCCTATAGATTGAGCTTATTACTTTTCTTAAGTTGGTTCAACTGGTTCATTTATCACTTTTAGATTTTGAGACTAGGGTTTTGGATCACAAACAACATGGACACTTTCTTCGACAAGATTCCTCAAGATGCATGTCATCTACATCAATATCCATCAAAGATCAAAAGCATTAAGGGTTTTAACTAGTTTTGCTTGAGGTTTCATCATACTTCGACCGACGGTCTTCTTGAGCTATAGTTTTGTTCCTCTCACCATCTCAAGCCTTCTTCATCCATATACACTCAAAGTTCAGTGATTTAGGATTTCTCATATAATTGTGCCTGAGCATTGGTGTTGGTTATTCAACTATGTTTTAATGAGCTAAGATTCTGCTTATAGGCTACCAGAATTACCAGTCTTTCCTCGTTTGGTATAGTTCTTTATCATCTTAGGGATTCTCTTATTTTGTTTTTAAGCTTGTGAATATTCATCAATAGAAGACCATGGTTAGGGTTGCATGTTAAGGCTATCTTTTTCTATTCTTCAAGTCTTGTCTTCATCTCTAATTCTTCAAAACATTCCTTTTATGGACTTGGAGAATGAATTGCTAAAAGAGTGAACATGATTTGAGAAAGTCGTTGTGTTCAAGACAACTCAAATGGATGATTTGTTTGAAGTTTTGCAAAGTTGGAAGGTTCATGTATTTGGATTACTTGAAACCTAAGGTGTGCCACAAATTCAAAAAAAAATTATCCTCTCAAGTTCAAGCTTTACATTCATTTCAAGATCCAGAGCATATGGATAACTTTGAGCCATATGTCATAATTGATTCAAGATTGCAAGTTCAAAATTCAAGAATTATTTCATTCCAAATTCAATCTCAAAGATTCCAACTACTCATGATATTTCAAGCTCCAAATGCCCTTCAAGGATGCAAGGCAAGTTATCAAAATTTCAAGTTTTAAGTCCATTTCCACATCATAATTTCAAATCTCATTCAAGGTTATCCAAAGTTCAACATCATTCGATCTTTCAAGATATTATTCAAATTTCAATTCCAATTCAGGAACATTCAAAGTATACATCAAAATTAAAGTTCAAAGTTTCAAGTAACCATTATTTCATTCAAATTCATCACCATCCAAAATCCAACAATCAAAAGTTCATACAAGATTCATTACAAGTTATCATGTTATGCTACAAACAAGAAATTACAAGGGATTTTTGTTCTCAATCCTAAAACTAAAGTTTCAAATGCTAAATTTTCAAACCAATTTTCATTCTTCATAATGAATCTGTGACAAGAATTCTTCCAACTAGGCAAAACACTAAACCTTCAAGCTGCCTGAACCTTGCTTCAATAAAAGCTCATACTGTCAAGATGCCTCACACGGTTTGCTCTGCAAAAAAATGAACAATACGGTTGTCGGCTTTATAAAACAGAAGAAAACCGACATGTTGTCAACAAACTCACATGAACTGATTCCGAATCTGTTTAAAGCCTCTCCAAAGTGGATTCAATATAAATATGCCTTACTGTCCAAGTTAAAGAAAAAGCGGAAAAATTAGAAAAGATGGAAAAATAAAATCAGAATAAAGATTCATTTTCCGCTCTGCAAGCATTACAGAAAAACTCAGAAAAAAGGGCAGAGAAAAGTTATCAGAAAATCAGCATAACTAAATTCCACCTCAGCAGATTAATAACAAACTCACAAAGCAGGTTTCAAGCTCAGAATTCAGATGTGATCCATCCATTCATTGATATAACAGAATTTCAAATTCAATGGTTCAGATTGGCTTTACCTGTAACCAACTCTGCAACTATAAATCAGGATTTCTGCTCCAATCTGAGGAAAGGGATTCATTTCTGCAAAAACTTCTCAGAGAAGCTTCAGGGTTCTCTCTAAAATTCTCTGAAGCTTCAACGATTCATTCAGAAAAAAATCCAAAAAATATTCACTCTCTTCTCTCAGAGTTTTCTCTATTCTCTGCTTCAATATTCATCAACCTGCTTCAGCATCATCTTCACTTCTCAATCACGATTCATTCTATGCAAATTTCAGAAATCTTCCTCTAAGCTCTCTCTACACTGAATCAGTTTCATCACTGTAACAACAACAACAACACACACACATCAACAAATTAGCAGAAGCAGTACACACGGAGAAGAAGAAGTTAAGTAGTGGAAGAAGAACAAACAAGAGATTACAAGTGCTTACCTGAGTTTTCTCGTTGTCGACGTTGTTGAAGACGAACATGAGGACCTGAAGAACGAATCCGTGAAGAAGCTGATGGAAGCAGCACTGTGAAGAGGACGCATCGAAGAAGATGATTGGCGAAGTGAGACGGAGAGAGTGGATAGCCGGTTTGCTCGCGGCGAATTAAGTTTTCTAAGGGTGGCGTGTTGAAGAGGAAGAGAGAAGGTTGAGACTTTGTTTCGCGATTAATTTGAAGAGTCACATTGGTTTTTTACCCTAGCTTTTGGCCAAAAACGACATCCCTTCACCCTTCTTTTATTTTCTAATTATTTCCTTTTATTATTATTTCGTTTTTTTACGGATAACTGATAATTAAAATAAAATTTGAATAGAAATAATATGTCGTTGGGCTAGATCAAATTAGTGCACTCTTTGCCTAAGCCCATGAAGTATTTGGAGCCTGTTGCTTTAAACCACAAAAACTTCTTCCTAGACTCGATTATGATGGGCATTGCATCTAGGATTACTTGCCCACACCCCTAGTAAGAATTTCATACCTCCCTCTGATTTCTCATTATTTTAATTTTTTTCTTCCATTTTTAATTATTTTAGAGTTTTAATTTATTTTATTAATTTTAAGTGTTAAAAAAATAATAAAAATAATAAAAAGATATATAAAAGATGCTTAAGGCTTTTTAGGATTATTTTAGAATTTAATTCGATTTTATTTCTATTATTACTTCATGTTCTTAATTTCTTTTTAAATCAAGTTTAAACATTATTTTTATGTGTTTTCTTTGTGTAATATTGATCAAATAAGACGTTTGAGTATTGAGGATTATCTTGTGTTGAACTGGCATGCTTCTTTAGGATTCCATGAGATGATTAATTATTCTTTTGATCGTCTTATGTTGATTAGACCTTAAGGTGTTAATACAAGCATGATAACGTTAGGATAGTTTTCCCTATAACTCAACCTTAGGACCATTTGAGATATTCTTCCAACAAAATACTCTAATGAATTCAAATCATTTTGTGCCCTTTGTGCACTTTTCTCTTTAAAAATATTTTTCCAAAAGACTAGACTCTTGTTCGTTCTTGTAGTGATGCAAGCTACTATACTTCTACAATATATAGTGAAGCGATTGACATTTTCCACTTGGGTATTGTGTGATGTCTTTTTGATTTCAATCCAAGATCCTCCACTTTGAGATGATGTAAATGCTCATTCCTCGAAATTTTGGGTAGTAAGTATGTTTTCCACTCGAATACGACAACATGTCTTTCATTAAAAAACAATCAACAAATAAAACTTTTTTCAGAAAAACTACGAGTGTTCTGATTCCTCCTGGGATACGTAGGCACTAGGTTTAAAGATCCAGACGAACGCAATAATAAAAAATTCTTTCTTTTCCCAATTAAATCATTCATGCATTTTTTGAAAACAATTCTTTATAGACAAATACACATATTTTCAAAGAGGTTCATGTGGAGTACCATAGATGTATAGGGTGCTAATACCTTCCCTTTACATAACCAACCTCGTACCTAGATTCTCTCCCCTTCTTTTTTTGGGTCTATTCTCTCTTTTTCTATTTCCTTTGGAAACAATAAAGTGTCGTGGTGATTTTCATTTGATCTGTGCGAGTTAAGTCAATCCAATAGCTTAGTCTCAACATTTCTACCGCTACAGGTTCCTATAAGAATTATTACAGACAATGGGTCCAACTTGAACAACAAAATGATGAAGGAGTTATATGATGATTTCAAGATTGAGCATCATAGTTCCTCGCCTTACCGATCCAAGATGAATGGAGCCGTTGAAGCTGCCAATAAAAATATCAAGAAGATCATTCAGAAAATGGTGAAGACATATAAATATTGGCATAAAATGCTTCCTTTTTCTCTACATGGCTACCGTACCTCAGTACATACTTCGACATGTGCAACTCCTTTTTCTCTTGTATATGGCATGGAGGTTGTACTCCATGTTGAAGTGGAGATTCCATCACTACGAGTTATAATGGAAACCAAGCTTGAAGATTCAGAATGGGTTCAAACATGACTTGATCAGCTTAACCTCATTGAAGAGAAATTCTTAACGACTCTATTCCTTGGTCAACTGTACCAAAAGTGGATGGAGATAGAATTCGACAAAAAGGTCCAACCTCATGTGTTCAAAGAAGGAGATTTGGTTCTCAAGAAGACTTCAACACCTCGTCTAGATGCACGTGGTAAATAGACACCTAATTACGAAGGTCCATATTGAAACAACTGGAAATATCATTGAAGATGAAACTCAATGAAGTCACCATCAAACGTCTTTTATCCTGCCGAAAGGGAAAGGTAAACATTGAGTAAACATGAAAAAGGGTGAAATCATGGTCTTGCGACCGTAGAGATCGGGTAAGGAAGTCACTTACGTGAGGGGTGAAGCGATTGACAAAAAACACAAATCCGCCACCGAACTTTATTTATCCCGAAGGAAGTGGAAATATCGATAAAACCCCAAGAGGATGGATAAGATGGTCTTGTGACCAAAAGAGGGGGTTTGGAAGTCGATTATGCGAGGGAAAGGTATTAACACCCCTCACATCTGTTGTACTCAACGAGATCCATTTTGATTGTTGGATTTTAAGGGTGTATCTTTTTATAACTATACTTGCTTAAGGGGAATGAAATTGTTTTGTATTCATGCGTTTGTGAGGGTCTCGCAACCCTTTGCCTATGTATCCCGTGAAGGAATCAAAACACCGTAGTTCTTCTACAAAATGTTGGTTTGTTGGTGTTTTTTAGTGGGCAGTGTTAACACACGCATTCTAGCAATAGACACGGCCAGTATCGCGGTAGATTGGAGATAACATGCCCTTTTAAGGAGTTCTTTGATTTGTTGAGTGTTTTTGTTAAGTGTGGATGAGTTTGAATAATGATTAAGTGTTTTCAGAATTTTGAATAAGGAAAGAAATTTTGTTTTAATTTACAAAAGAAGAAAGATTCTAAAGGGAGACTAAAAAAACCTTATTGTTGTCATACAAGGCGTGAACTTAAAGTTGGGATGAAGGGAGAAAATCTACCTAAGTTAGCATGCGAAGTTTAGCCTAGGGTTGAGTTTAAGGGAATTACCTAGTGTTGCCAGACAATAAAAACAGAAACGATATCCTAAGATTTATCATGCTAAGGTTTAAAACCTAAAGTCTAATGCGAAATGATTGAAATGGGATTTCAAACGCTTCAGGGCATTCCTAAGGGAACCTGCTAAGAAGCAATAGAGCAACTATCAAAGTAAAGTAAAGTACTGCTAATATTTTTTTGTGATTATTTTCAAGTAAATAAATATTAAACTCAAGAGAAGAATAAAATTCTAATATTTTTGTGATTTTCATCATATAAAGAAAATTAAAAAAAATAAATTCTAATTCTAATATTTTTTGTGTTTTTGTATGGATTTTAAATGAAAATAGGCTAAAAAAGGGTTAAACTTAGAATTTAAAAAAAGGGTAAAGTCAGGGATTAAACTCATATCCCCTAAATTATAACTCTTTTGCCTTGCCACTAAACCAACTTTAGTTTTATGTTATATTTACAATTTAATTAAAATATAATAAAACAAAGTTTGGTTTAAAAGGAAATAAAAAAGGTAGAATAAAGGTAAAAGTGTCTCGGGGGTCACAAACCCGGGACCTCACGAATACAGACAAACACGCTAACCATTGCACCATGCTACTCATTAGTTTATTCTTATCTCTTCATTAAACTAAATTTAAAACAAAGACAATGGAAATGGGTTATCAGACCCAATGGGTCAACCCATATTGGGAGAATAATTGAAGGGTTTTTTGGGGAACCCTAATCTGAAGAAAGGGTCGTCGTAGGCTCTCACATTGGGAAAGGGTTAGCATTTAATTTTTTTATTTCCCAATAACAGAAAAAAAAGATTTATCCTCTTCCCTCAACCTCATACGATCCTTCTCTCTTTATTCACCATAATCTCTATTCTATCTCAATAACCCTTTATTCATCCTCTTCATTTATTCTCTTGGCCGAACCAAAAAAAACAACATCGCCATCCCTCTATCGCTGTTGTTGTACCACAAAATTTCCCTCCCATATTTCTCAATACATTTCAAGTGAGATCCTCAAATTACTCAAGGAAGTCCAATGGTTGACCAGACAAACTCTCTCATAAGGCAGTCTACCTCAAATTAGGGTTTCAGTTTGCATCAAGATGCTTGATTCCAAAGGGTCTCAAATGCTCACAATTTTCCTAATATGTTCCCAAGATCATCCATGTCAAGTTTCAAGCCTTGCAGAGAAAGTTTGCTCAGTCAATTGCTCAAAAGCCTGAAAATCGACTATGCTAGGGTTAAAGTCAACTGTGGCCCACATACAGTCAAACTTCAAGATTTTTGGTCAACATCATAATTTTGAAATATTGTTCATCATTTAATCAAGGGTTGATCATGATTCCTCAAGGATTGTTCACAATTCATTAAAACCCAAAAGTTGCTAAATTAGGGTTTTGTAGAAAAAGTCAACTCAACTTTGACCAAGCATAACTTTCTCATACTTTATCAGAAATGACCCATCCAAAGCTAATTTTAAAGAGGATGCCATTCCCTAGAATCCATATTCATCTCCCAAGTTCAAAAAATGCACTCACAATAAGTTATGAATTTGGACATTATAGGTCATTTTGAAAAGTCAACAAAAACACCTTTTTTGTCAAAGCTTCATACATGAACATGGAAGACTCAATTGAGAAGAGACCAAAAGGTTTGCTTAGAGGACATCTTGAACTTTCTAAAAAGTCAAAGAACACATCTATAGGGTCAAAATTGAAGGAGTTATGCATTGGTGAAGTTGACCTTTTTTGCAAAAT